TCTCTTCTCTTGCTATCTCCATTCTCTTTTTCTACTCTTGTCTATTACTCACTGTCACTATATCTTTCATTCTTGTCTCATTCTGCTGTGTTGTGGCTCCCCACTGAATGTCCTAGGAATGCCCTTAAATGTTGCAGACGAATGGATCAGTTTAGAAGAGCTGCAGGAGTCAAGCTCTGAGGAGGAGTTCTTTGATGCCCCAGGTCAGGAACACACCTGTACATAATTATGTTTTTGTTGTTGGTGTTGTATGAGGAGCCGCCCTGATGTAGTGGTTATACCCTTCCCTCCAGATCCAAAGGTCGTGAGTTCAGGTCCAGTTAGAGCCTTACTTTTTTTCTCTTTAAATGACCATGGCTCCCAGGTTGACCCCGCCATAGGTAGCAGGTAAAGTCCTGGGATGTAAAAGCGGCCGGCTTGATACTTTTGACATTACCCACCGAGTGCCGGTTGTCTATATAAAATATAAGACTAGATCTACATGGCCACTACACCTGAAGGCGTTGAAAAAAGTTCGTTACTTCAGTTGTTGTTATAGAAGGTCTCCATATGTCATAGGCAACTAACTGACAGGTTAAAATTGGACTTATTTTTTTTACAAAGAACAGAAACCCTCACAACTGAGAGATCATATCAGAAGATCACCGTGGTTCAGCTGCAGCAGTAAAACAATTAAGTGACTAATAATGTATTTCAAGGGTTAATAGACTGGGAGCATTGGAGACATAAAGAGAGAATGGCAGACAACAGTGGGAGACAAACTACATACACAAAAGAATTGAATGGTAGTAAAACACAAGGATAGATTAGGAAAATTGTTGAAAGGTAATATATAGGCATACCTAACTTGGAGTAACTAGAAAGAGATCTTCTGTGTGGGTTCCTGAGCTCTACTTGGGGGGGGGGGGGGGGGAGAGGGGGGGGGGGGGGGGGTGGGGAAGGGGTGTGAAAAATTTTCCCTGCCTCCCTAACAAGTATATCATAAAAAGCAGCTAACTAGGGATGTTTTTTTCTAATGTCCAAACACATTTGCCTAAGTTGCCAGGAACCAATAATCTACATATAATAAAGCCAAATATGTAAAATGGAGGTGCAAGAAAAATTCAAGCTCTGGAACAAGACTGGAGTCCAAAAGTGAACAAACAACCAGTTTACAGCCCGCGAACACTAAGGATGACGTAAAATTGTGACAACTGAGATGAAATGCCTTAGAAGAGCTGCAGAAGTTTCAGGGAAAGATAATACGAAATCAACAAAATCAGACGAATGCTAGGAATAAAGCCAGTCTTACAAGTTAACAAAGAACAATAAGTAAAGTGGTTTGGACACATAACAAGAATGCCCTGGCACTATCCACCACAGCGAACTACACTTAAACGTTACAACGGGTATAGAGCGAGTGGAAGACCTTGGAAAACATGGAGTGATGGCATTAAGAACACCCATACAGAAATGAACATCAGTCTTAATAGTGCTCTTGACAGAGCTCATCAACGAGCGTTACATCTTCCCCCGACACTTCGATGAGGTACAAAGTGGAAGAGAAGAAGAAGAAAAGGAAGAAGAAGAACACTACGAAGAAAAAGCGAAGAAGAAAGAGAAGGTCAGCCCTAGAGATGAACAGAGAAGGATGGTATCTGCAGCAATGAACCTCAAAGGCTCAGAATGCTAAACTAGAAGAAGAAAAAGTGAGAAGAAGATGACAAAGATGCCTCTCAACATATAATACTTTGTCTTACTTCACCTGCAAGTCATGAACTTTCTTACTACCAGAAATGTGGACCAAGGTTCAGGGGCCCTAACATGAAGAAGATATTGCGGTTGTGAGGAGGAGGTGAGGGGGGGGGGGGGGATATCAGCCATAATAAATCTCTCGGAGGATGGAGCCTCAAGGGATCTAAGGCTAATTGAAGTGTCTAAAAATAACTGTCAAAAAGATAACATCATCATCATCACATGGCGGGTCCTTTGCAGTACGTCACTCTCACCACGGTCTGCCTGAAAGAAACTCGGCCTCTGGCCAGCTCTCCCACCTCATGTACTTTAATATTCAAGGAATCACTTATATCCTGTGCCCATCTTTGTGTTGGTCTGCCCCTGCCCCTCCTTCCTGGTATTTAATAATATACTTGACATAATTATGATATGCATAAACAAAACCTTAAAAAGACGGGTGCTATTTATGGTTAGAGAAGGGGGTAGAATCCGTTGTACACACATGCCGTGATTGTAACTGACTCGTAGAGCATGTTGAGAAAGGTGGAGGCAAGCATGCTCTGTGCAGAGTGGCAAGCATCACTTCAGAGGTCCAGGGTATTTAGCATCCTTTGGAGATTTTGTCCACGTCAAACGTGTGCTTGGGAAATGAGCAGGCAGGTAGACTGGCCGGTTCTGTACTGCTTGGTGATGCACTAATGTATGATAAGCTAGATGTTGTGAGGGCTCTCTTGGAGCGATTGAACAGTCTGGAGGCACAGACAGATCATTACGGTCTGGGGAGAATGGAACTGCAAGGAGTTACAAATGGATCTGGCCGGCGTTCAACACTTAGACGAAAGGCAAGACGGATATACAATCAGACAGTTACTAGTGCCATCGGAATCGGAACTCTTCGTTTGCTGCTGAAGATGGGGATAGAGCACTTATAGGAATGTTGATTCTTAGTTCAATATTCAAGACGGGGGTGTGGGGGAACAGGGTGGGGGGGGGGGGGGGCTGCTAGAAGTGCCCAGCCCCCCCCCCCCCCCTCCCCCCCCCCCCTCATTCTAGTACACATGCCTGTTTGTCCTGCTTCAACTGCAAATGTTGAACCTAGTTACCTCCCAGAAATGTAGGCTGTAATTGGGTTTAAACCTCAGGAGTCAAAGGTCAGATGGGGGCGGCAAATGAGATACAGGTAAAACCAAATACTTGCCGCCTACAGGAGGTGGAGCAGCTAACAATACAGTTGATTGATTGTGTGTGGTACGGTTTGGAGCAGTTAACATTACAGTTGACTGATTGTGTGTGGTAAAGTGTGGAGCAGTTAACATTACAGTTGACTGATTGTGTACGGTAAAGTGTACAATTTGTAATATCAACAGATGGATGTGAATGCATTTACGTGATATAAAATTAAGAAGAAAAAGAAAAAAAGATTAGAAGAAAAAAGAAGAAGTAGAACAAGAAGGAAGAGGAGACATAAAAAGAAGAGGAGAGGGATGAGGAGGGGGAGGAGGAAGAAGCAAAAAAGGGTGAGGAAGAAGAGGCCCCCCCCCCCCCCCCCCCAAAAAAAAAAAAGGGGAGAAGGAGGGGGAAGAGGAGGAGAAGATGAAACAAAGAATAAGTAAATTTGTGATTGGCTACCCATTAAGGATCACATCCAGTCTTACATTTTAAGAAAAGTCAGTCTGAGTTTGTAAAATTAGTTCTGCACTTTTGTGTTTCATACTGACACTATTGTGGCATCCAATTCTACCCCTATCCACTGATACTCTCTTCCCCCCCCCCTCTCTCTCTCTCTCTCTCTCTCTCTCTCTCTCTCTCTCACACACATACATACCAGAAAAGAACACATACACAAGTACCATACCACTCACAGTTTTACACAGAGACAAACACACCACACAGATAACATACACCCATAAAGAAATACACCATACAGATACTTACACAGACGACACACATCACAAAGACACACAGAGACAGACAACACACATCACAAAGACACATAGAGACAGACAACACACATCACAAAGACACACAGAGACAGACAACACACATCACACATACATATAGAGACAGACAACACATCAAAAACACACACAGAAATGCACACATGTCACACAAATACATACCACACACATACAAGTACACACAGACATCACACCTGTACACATTCTACACACAACACACATACATTTGCCCCCATCCCTGAGAGAAAATAAATTGCTGTTACCCTGAGGTGTTAGAATCTGAGAGGTGAGAGCCCCGTGTTTGGAGCATTCACATTTCTTTGTGATGCATATAATCCAAGTGGATGATGGATACTAGCCTTAGCTTAAGATGAGGAAATACAACTTGAAAACTTGATGGTATGGCAGGACAGACAAAACGATGTTGGGGCAGAGCAGATAAAACTTAATGTTATGGCAGGACAGACAAAACTTGATGTTGGGGTAGAGCAAATAAAACTTAATTTTAGGGCAGAAAATACAACACTGAATGATATGGCAGGGCAGACAAAACGTGATGTTGGGGCAGAGCAGATAAAACTTAATGCTATGGCAGGACAGCCAAAACTTTATGTTAGGGCAGCGCAGACAACACTTAATGTGGTAGCTTTACAGACCAGGTCTTTAGCCTTGGTTGGCAGCTCGTCTATGAGAGAGGCTCTGACAGAAAAAAATTTACCTGCTCTTCTGATCTGGTAGCTTCTGCAGCATGCTTTATTGCAACTTATCATAAATGACAAGTAAGTATTGTGGCTAGAAAGTCTTTAGCAGGACATTACATAAATAAGGAATACCACAGGTACAAATAAAAATACACAAAATCTCTTAGCTGATGTATTCCTGATAGAAATCACATTGCTGTCTGACCAGTGAAATGAATGTCACATTGGCCAACAAAAATAAATACTAGCCTGAGAACACCAAGGGCTGTAACTCAAAGACATCACGTAAAAGCTGTGTTGAAAGTTAACTCTTCAAGTCCTAGGGGGTTTAGCATCGGTAGCCCAAGGGGTAGTAAAGAGGGACGTAAAATCGGTGCATACTGCGTACATTGACCTTGTAGGTAGGCATGTAAACATACCCCACCAGGACATCACACAAGCGTTAAACACCCGGTAACACAAGGTGCCACCACATTTGACCTTCTAGGAATCTTTTAATGTATGATGTGTTCATTGGGACTAAAAGAGTTAATTCCTCTGGGTGTCATAATTTTGCAATGTAATATATGTGTATACACTGTATCTACCTTGGAAATACTGTACCTTGTTATGTCCTCACTGATAGAGTCCCTGTTTGACAAAAGGGTGGAGCAGTTCCGTCAGATGTATGGACATGAAGGTTCCAGTGCCGCTCCTAACGCTGAAGTCCCTCTGCAACCAGCCAGCTCTGTTTGTAGAACACAAGTCTTGTTTCTTGTCTTATACGGAGGTAAGGGTCATCTGATTTCAACTGTGCTCGTACACTTCTCGTCCTTTTTAGGATAAAATTTTTCGTTATTTGAAGCCCTACTCTGGCTTTTGCCAGGGGCCACAATATAGCCTGGCCATAAATATAGCCTAAAGACGAACGCGGTTTCTGGGACCTCTCCACGGTGATCCTCACCCACATGGTGGCACATTGTGTCATCGGGTGTTTATCGCTTGTGTGATGTCCTAGTGGGGTAGAAAGTCAGTCAGTCAGTCACCTGTGTAAACTTTAGTTAGCCCTACTTGACAGATATCAAATTGTGGATCTTAACTTCATCTTCTTCTTCTTAAAGTTCATGCTGTGTGGTGTTGGTAGTCATGACTATCCACAACCTTCTGTCTCGTGTACTTTCAGTCAACTCTGATACAGATGATCCTCCACGCTGTGTGGCATTAGTAGTCATGTCTATCCACAACCTTCTGTCTCGTGTACTTTCAATCAACTCTGACACAGGTTATCCTCCATGCCATGATGCCAGACTGTCCAGCATCTTTTCTCTCGGTCTCCCTCTGCCTCCCCCCTCCAACTTTCCTACTGTCACAATGTATGCCAGTTTTCCCCTCTCATTTCATGACTAAAGAATGTAGATTATCTCTTTCTGATGTAAGCATTTAGTTCTCTTCGTGAGTCAGTTTCTTTCAAGACATGTTCATTACTCTTTTTATCTGTCCAGGGTATTCTCTTCATTCGTCTATAAAACAACATCTCTGCAGCTTTCAAAGAAGTTTTCACCAGTTTACCCACTGTCTATGATTTACTTAATCATTGAAGAAATAAATCTGAGCTTTAGAACTAAAATGCTTCACCCTGTTCATGTTTATTGATTACTCACTTTATATATATATATAGTCGCCTTCTAGGTAGTAACCTATGAAACCTATAGGAACCTATGAAACCCATAGGAACCTATTAAAATAGTTAAATCTATGAAACCTATAGGAACCTATGAAACCTATAGGAACCTATGAAACCTATAGGAACCTATGAAACCTATAGGAACCTATGAAACCTATAGGAACCTATGAAAAATATAGGAACCTATAGGAACCTATGAAACCCATAGAAAACTATTAAAAAAGTTAAAACAATGTAAATAAAAAATTAATTTTAAAATAATTAATCAGTGACCTGTCTACAAAATTTAAAATGTTTAATTAATTTGGAATTCCAACAGGGTCATTAACAGTTTTTTTTTTTTAATTATTTTTTGCTTATTAGTGTTCCTGGCTCAAGAGATTTAATGAAAACTTCCATCATCAAAGAGGTACCGAAGTATTTAAACATATGGGACCAGTCTCATTGGCTGGCTTTGGACCAGTCTCAATGACTTGCTTTAGACCAGTCTCATTGGCTGGCTTTGGACCAGTCTCAATGACTTGCTTTGGACCAGTCTCAATGACTTGCTTTGGACCAGTCTCAATGACTTGCTTTGGACCAGTCTCACTGACTTGCTTTGGACCAGTCTCAATAACTTTGAAATTGTATTCTGAAGAACAAATGTTTCTTTGTAAATACCGTTACTTCTGGGTTTTTCCCAATCAGCCTAAGATGACTGTTTTGAACTTTTGAGTAGGTCATCTGTGCCATATCTTGTAAGTGAATTTCATTGTCAACAGTCTAAACCATTGTTGTCTTCTTCAGCATTCCAAACCCTTGAAGTTTGTTGCTGCAGATATCACTTGCCTCTATTCATCTATGTGCATGTATGTGTGTGTGTATGTGTGCATGCATGTGTATGTTTGTGTGTCTGGTGTGTGTGTGTCTGCCTGTGTGTCTGTGTGTGAATTGGGTTGTGTCTGTGTGTACATCTGTGTGTGTGTGTATGTGTGTCTGGGCGTGTGTGTTTGTGTGTGTACATCTTCATTTGTGGATGTGGGTTGGGTCTGTGTGTGTGTGTCTGTGTGTATCTGTGTGTATATGTGTGTGTTTGTTTGTGTGTGTGTCTGCATCTGTGTGTGTTTGTGCATGTGTGTCTGTGTGTGTGTGTGTCTCTCTCTCTCTGTGTCTGCGGGTTTGTGTGTCATTGTGTGTGTGTCTGTGTGTGTGTGTGTGTATATATTTCTGTGTCTGTGTGCGTTTATGTGTTTGTTTGTATCTCTATGTGCATGTTTGTGTGTTTAATTGTGTGTGTGTTTCTGTGGGTGTGTCTTAGTGTGTATCTGTATATATGTATGTGTGTGGAATGTGTGTCTTTGAATGTATGTGGGTGTGTGTGGGTGTATGTGAGTATGTATATATATATATATATATATATATGTGTGTGTTAAAATGAGGGGTGGGTGTGTGTATGTGGGTGTGTGTGTGTGCGCTAGTGTGTGTATGCATTTGACCACCCATACTTTTGTATATTTTCTCAAAATTCACAATATTCATATTATCATATAAATATAATTTTAATGAAAAAATACAACTGCTGTGTAAAAGACGGGTGTTTGGAAGGACCGAATGTGCTTATAGGAATGCCTTGAGTGCTGTGGTGTCAGTTCGTAACTCATTGTAACTCAACCATGCGAACCGAATAGAATGTTTTTTCTTGTTTTCCTTAGTGTTCACTTTGGTCTTTTGCCTCATATCCATTTTACAGATCTGGCTTATTTGTGTGCAGACTGTTAGTTCCTTTCCTCTCATGCAGATGCACTAGAACTTCAAAAGAAACAACCCTAATTAGTCACCATTTACAAAATGCCTGTTAGGGAAGTGCAATTGGTCTGCTCTTCTTTTCTCTAAAACTGAGCCCCAGAATCCACACAGGAAGAACAGAAAGCCTGAGCTGTCTTATAAAATAATATCTTGTCTGTACTAGGCAACCTGCTGGACTACATCCATGATGCAATCTACAAACACAAACAGAAAGCCTGAGCTATCTTATAAAATAATATTTTGTATGTACTAGGCAACCTGCTGGACTACATCCATGATGCAATCTACAAACACAAACAGAAAGCCTGAGCTGTCTTATAAAATAATATTTTGTCTGTACTAGGCAACCTGCTGGACTACATCCATGATGCAATCTACAAACACAAACAGAAAGCCTGAGCTGTCTTACAAAATAATATCTTGTCTGTAATAGGCAACCTGCTGGACTACATCCATGATACAGTCTACAAACACAAACAGAAAGCCTGAGCTGTCTTATAAAATAATATTTTGTCTGCACTAGGTAACCTGCTGGATTACATCCATGATGCAGTCTCCAGACGTCGGGACATGACCAACTTACAAGCCACATTCAACAACGTGATTCAGTCCCACTACCAGCTGGATCCTACCTGTGTTCAGTTCCGCCTGGTTGCCTGTCCAAATCTTTGCAAACAGACATTGTCTTTACTGTCCAGGTATGCTGTGGCATCATCATCATCATCATTATCGTCATCATCATCATCCTTTATTGCTTGTAGTCTATCTCTAAACTGTATTCTTCTATATAACAGTTTCTGATATCATGGATGGAATCCAGTTCAGCACGCTTAGCCTTTCTAACATTGTTGTGAATTTACTTCTTCGTCTTCTTTTGTTAGGACGCTGTGGGTCTCTCCCCACCCCCACCCCTCCCCAGCTAATGAAAATAATGGGGCCCGAGAAGCCACACAGTAAAGCTAACTCTTTATTTTTGTCAATTTTTATTTTTTTAATGAAGCAGTGCATTTTTTAAAATTATAAGTAAAGTAAAGGACCCTTTTTCAAGCCTTCAGGGTTATTGGGCATGTAGGGCTAGACCTATATTTTATAGACCAATCCGTACTTGGTGGGTGATGTGGTCAGCATCCGGCCAGCTGCCATTACTTCTCATGACTCCACTTGGTACCCACTTAAGGCTGGCTTGACCTGGGAGCCAAGAACTTTTATGAAAAAAAAAGTCTGGCTCCGTCAGAACCTAAACCCAACGACCTTCCAATCCACAGCCAGTTGTCTAGCTGCTACACCAGAAAGAGTTCCTATTTTGAATTATACTCTGTCAATATAAGTGATGTGTGAAGGATGAGTGTCTGAAGAGGGGTGAATAAAGATGTGTCTGCATTCCCACTTTGTGACCCTTTAAACATAATTTTTAATTCATTCATTTGTTTGTCATCACACTATTACTAGGTTGTAGCCCAGTGTCTTGGTTTACTGTGTTTGTCTTGCACTTCTCAGGTTTGAGGTTGGAAGTTTGAACAACGGATCACCATCATGGCACAAGGGTAATAACCCATAAGTGCTCCTATCTTCTTCTAACTCAAGTCTTGAGTCCAAGAAGCTCAGCCCAGTGCACAGGCTCTGTATCACTGGCGAGGATCTTGAAATACTTTGGGTAGATTTTTAACTCCAAATTTTGTCTGGGCAGTGCCGTTAGGTTACTCTTTTTGATTTCCAAATGCCCAGGGATTTTTATGTGCGCAACAATGCACTCAGGCATCCAATCTCACTCCCCAAAGACCAGGAAAAATTACTAGAAGTCCAAGTCCACGTGAAAAAATCCCAGCTTTTACCAAGGATTGAACCTGGAACCTCTAGCACTTGAGGCAGACACCAGGCCTTAAGACCATAAGGTGGCTTCAGTGATGGTTTGGTTCACCTTTCTGGTGAGAGCCTCAGTGTTTGCTAAGTAGATGCAGGTATTCACAACCTGGGATATTTTTTCTATTCATCACCCGCTTAAGGACCTCTAGTGCTACATCAGTTGTTTCTAAAGACAGTTTTCTTTAGTACATTATCTTATGCTCATTTTGGCATTAGTCCGAACCTGTTGTCTCTTGATGCAAATGTCCCTGCCTCATCCAAACCTGTTGTCTCTTGAAACAAATGTACGTGTCTCGTCCGAACCTGTTGTCTCTTGATGCAAATGTCCCTGTCTCGTCTGAACCTGTTGTCTCTCTGTGCAAATGTCCCTGTCTCATCCGAACCTGTTGTCTCTTGAAACAAATGTCTCTGTCTCATCCGAACCTGTTGTCTCTTGATGCAAATGTCCCTGTCTCATCTGAACCTGTTGTCTCTTGATGTGAATGTCCCTATCTCGTCCGAACCTAATGTCTTTTGTTGCAAGTGTCCCTGTCTCGTGTATTTTCCAACTAGATCCTTCCTGCATTCAGTTTGAATGTTGATTCCTGCCCCACTCTTTACAAAGGAACATTGACTCTACTCTCCACATTTGTTGTGAAGAAGAAGCAGAAGAGAAGAAGAGTGAAGTAAAGAGAAGAAGAAGAAGAAGAAGAAGAAGAAGAAGAAGAAGAAGAAGAAGAAGAAGAAGAAGAAGAAGAGGAAGAAGAAGAAGAAGAAGAAGAAGAAGAAGAAGAAGAAGAAGAAGAAGAAGAAGAAGAAGAAGAAGAAGAAGAAGAAGAAGAAGAAGAAGAGGAAGAAGAAGAAGAAGAAGAAGAAGAAGAAGGAAGAAGAAGATTTGCTGAACCTGTGTTGCTTTATCACCATTAGTGTCAGTATAGGCTTGACATTCCTTTGTATGCTCAACCGTTCAAAGGAAGTAGAAGAAGATACAGAGAAAGAAGATAAGAAGAAGAAGAAGACTGTTCCAATATGAGCTTGGTGTATTTTTATAAGAAGAAGTTGAAGAAGAATCGAAGAAGAAGTCGACTGGACCATTGAGCAAAGCTATGCACAGAACTTATGGCAAAGATGAATATAGCAAGGGGCGTGACTCCATATCACTTTACAGGATGATGGACATTGGAATGCAACCTGAAGCTGCAAGAAATGGACATTTGACCAAAAATATAAGATGCTTGATTGATCAACACAGAACATCCATCATCATAACCTTGTTGTATTGCCCCCTATTCTGATCTATCAGGTTAAGTCAGTATATGCTTGACTTGTATGCCAAACTTTCAAGTCATTATGCCATCCAAAGATAGTGTCAGAAACTTATTGCAATACACCGCTTCGTGTATTTTTATATGGAAGACTCATCCAGTACTGGACCATTGAGCAAAACTATGCACAGAACGTATGGCAAAGATGAATATAGCAAGGGGCATGACTCTATATCACTTTACAGGATGATGGACATTGGAATGCAACCTGAAGCTGCAAGAAATGGACATTTGACCAAGGGTATAAGATGCTTGATTGATCAACACAGAACATCCATCATCATAACCTTGTTGTATTGCCCCCTATTCTGATCTAGAGGATGCCATAAGCCTGCTTGGCCAAACTTCATTCTCAAGTCATTATGTTTGGTTAGTGTCAGAAATATTGCCATACACCGGCCTAGCCCATACAAGGAGAAAATGATCAGAGATAGGCCATCCACCAGCCTAGTCCATACAAGGAGAAAATCGATCAGAGATAGGCCATTCACTAGCCTAGCCCATACAAGGAGAAAATGATCCAAGATAGGCCATCCACCAGCCTAGCCCATACAAGGAGAAAACGATCAGAGAAAGGCCATTCACCAGCCTAGCCCATACAAGGATAAAACGACCAGAGATAGGCCAACAACTGAGCATCTGAAAAAAAGCATTGAGATACTTACAGTGGCAGTAATGGTCCTGGAATTTATTTCTCTAACTGTGGTAGATGAAATCTAGCCATCCCAGCAACAGAGTCTTCAAGTCTCTTGAAAATTGCTTTATTTTCACCTTGGGCAGGTTAACACCTAGGGGACTGAACTGCCAACAGTTTCATTTAAAATTCCCCAGTTATAGCCTCTGGCATTCTCCTGCAATTTATTCTCGTGTCCAGCGTGTCTCTTCATTCCACTAAAAGGCATCAACGTGGGGGGAAATAAGTGAACTTTTAATCAGAATGCAACTAGTACTAGGAGCGTGTTGACTCTCATTGGCTGCTGAGGAAGGAGACATAGTACGTGTGGGAATTTCCTGAGTTCAGTGGTATCAGTTATTGATTCATTCATTCATTCATTCATTACTCTGGCATGCCAAGATACATAGATGTCAGTGAGGGTGGTGGATACAGCTTTTAATATTGTCTACCCTTTCAAAGAGGAGATTTATGATTTTCTGAAGCATGTTTATTTGCACATGTCTGCACACCACAGTCCCCTCTGCTGCACTGAAAAACATCCAACTGCCCCTCTTGTTGTAATGGACAATGCACAATATGTGCCAAACTTGAATAACAGGAATACTCTGCATCTGAAATATGCTTGGTTAAAGTTACCACAAGAAATTGCATACAACCTCATTTTTGCAGACACGAAGACATGGTCATGAACCTGTATTTGCCTTGGTAACACAGGTACTAATTTTTAAATGTGGCTGATTTTAAATTTCAGTTAGAAAGATTCATTTCTTGGCTTTTTTATATTCAATTCTTATTCTGGTATGCACTGGTTAAAATAACAGCAAAATATAGCAGGCAATAAATTGTGCAAACTTTTGTGTGTGTCTTCTTTATCTATCTGGATATCTTCATTTTGTCTTCCTGTAACCCAGACTCTCCTTGTACAATACTCCTCCTGGAAGCAACACTAAAGATGTCAATTTGTTCAGAAGCCAAAACTTTGTGCCGCTAGAGGCGGTCGCTCTCATCGCTACAGGAAGTTCCGATTACCGGGAACAGGTCAATGCCATGGTGATGTCTGCCAATCGTGTGTACAATAGCTTTCTTCAATCTCCAGAGGGAAAGGAATTCACAGGACAGGTAACTGTGTGAAGTAATTTTTTTTTCTGTTTTTTTTTAAAGTTTTTTTTAATAAATGGGGTGACTGTTTCAAGTAATGTTTGGTAGCTGCAGTGATTGTGTGAAGTGATGTTTGGTAGTTGAAGTAATTGTGTGAAGTGATGTTTGGTAGTTGAAGTAATTGTGTGAAGTGATGTTTGGTAGCTGAAGTAATTGTGTGAAGTAATGTTTGGTAGCTGAAGTAATTGTGTGAAGTAATGTTTGGTAGCTGCAGTGATTGTGTGAAGTGACGTTTGGTAGCTGAAGTAATTGTGTGAAGTGATGTTTGGTAACTGAAGTAATTGTGTGAAGTGATGTTTGGTAGCTGAAGTAATTGTGTGAAGTGACGTTTGGTAGCTGAAGTAATTGTGTGAAGTGATGTTTGGTAACTGAAGTAATTGTGTGAAGTGATGTTTGGTAGTTGAAGTAATTGTGTGAAGTGATGTTTGGTAGCTGAAGTAATTGTGTGAAGTAATGTTTGGTAGCTGAAGTAATTGTGTGAAGTAATGTTTGGTAGCTGCAGTGATTGTGTGAAGTGATGTTTGGTAGTTGAAGTAATTGTGTGAAGTAATGTTTGGTAGCTGAAGTAATTGTGTGAAGTGACGTTTGGTAGCTGAAGTGATTGTGTGAAGTGATGTTTGGTAGCTGAAGTAATTGTGTGAAGTGATGTTTGGTAGCTGAAGTAATTGTGTGAAGTGATGTTTGGTAGTTGAAGTAATTGTGTGAAGTGATGTTTGGTAGCTGAAGTAATTGTGTGAAGTAATGTTTGGTAGCTGAAGTAATTGTGTGAAGTGATATATGGTAGCTGAAGTAATTGTATGAAGTGATGTTTGGTAGCTGAAGTAATTGTGTGAAGGGATGTTTAGTAGCTGAAGTAATTGTGTGAAGTGATGTTTGGTAGCTGAATTAATTGTGTGAAGTGATGTTTGGTAGCTGAAGTAATTGTGTGAAGTGATGTTTGGTAGCTGAAGTAATTGTGTGAAGTTATGTTTGGTAGCTGAAGTAATTGTGTGAAGTAATGTTTGGTAGCTGAAGTAATTGTGTGAAGGGATGTTTAGTAGCTGAAGTAATTGTGTGAAGTGATGTTTGGTAGCTGAAGTAATTGTGTGAAGTGACGTTTGGTAGCTGAAGTAATTGTGTGAAGGGATGTTTGGTAGCTGAAGTAATTGTGTGAAGGGATGTTTGGTAGCTGAAGTAATTGTGTGAAGTGATGTTTGGTAGCTGAAGTAATTGTGTGAAGTGATGTTTGGTAGCTGAAGTAATTGTGTGAAGTGATTTTTGGATTGTGTGTAGTAAATGTTCCCTTTTCACGCCTTTCGGCGCATCGGGCATATGGGCAGAGCGTCCCATATTTTTACAGACCATCAGCACTCTGTGGGTAATGTGGTCAGCATTACGCCGGCTGTCATTACTTTCCCAGGACAGCCCATCCTGGTACCCATTTTAGGCTGGGTCGACCTGCGACGTCCCATACCACGACAAAAATCCACGCAGCCTGCAGTGGGTTTCGATCGCGTATGCTGGCTTACGAGTCGGACTCGCAACGCCTTAGCCACTGTTTGGTAACTGAGGTGATTGTGTGAAGTGATGTTTTGGTAGCTGAAGTGATTGTGTGAAGTAATGTTTTGGTGAAAATGTAGAAGCCTACAACAACTATTAGACATTGTTCTGCTTGAGAGTGCAAAAAAGGGACTCTCCTTCAATATTTAAAAAAACAACAGAAACCATGGTTATATCAAAGAAGGATAACTTTAAAATGGGACATAGCAATAAAAGGGAAAGTGCTTAACCAAGTCAATAAATTCAAGTATTTGGGAACATTCATAACATCAGACGGATAATGTGTGACAGAAATTAAGAGCAGAATTGGCCAGGCAAAGACAGCTTTTCAGAAGATGAAAAGTATTTTATTTAATAAATCACTCTCATTCAACATCAGAAAACAAGTACTGAAATGTTATATTGAGCCTGTTCTGTTGTATGGTAGTGAATCTTGGAATGTGAGCAAACAAATGAAGAAGAGTTTGGAGGCAACTGAGATGTGGTTCTTAAGAAGAATGTTGCAAATACCTTGGACTGCCAAAATTACCCACATTTGAATGCCTGGAAATAGCTAATGAAAGTAAAACATTATATACAAAAATGATAAGGCGACAAACAAAGTTCTTTGGTCATGTAATGAGAAAAAGAGCACTGGAAAATATCGTGACAGAGGCAGACCAAGAGAAATGATAGTCGAAGGCTTAAGACAGTGGCATGGAGAAATACCATCAGTGGAATTGATCCAGAACACCAAAGACTGAGATCTGTGGCAAAGCATAAATGGCTACATAAGCTCGCAAGGCACTTGATGATGTTTTGCATGAAGTGATGTTTTTTTAACTGAAGTGATTGTATAAAGTAATGCTGGATAACTGAGCTGATTGATAAGTGATGTTTTTTAACTGAGATGATTGTTTAAAGTGATGTTTGGTAACTGATGCGACTGTTTGAAGTGATGTCCGGTAACTGAGATGATTTAATTTTTAACTGAGATGATAATATAATGTGATGTTTGGTAGTTGAATCAATTATTTAAAGTGAAATTTATAGATAAAGTGATTCTTTAAAATGATGTTTAGTAGGTGAATTTTTTTTAATTTTATTTTTTTTTATTTTTAACTTGAATTGGTTGCATGACATGATGTTTGTTAACAGGTGATTTTATGAAGTAATTTATAGTCACATATTATAAAGTTATGTTGAGTAAATGAAGTGACTGTTGGAAGTGATCTTGGGTGACTGAGGTAATTGTCTGAAGTGATCTTGGATGACTGAGGTGATTGTCTGAAGTGATCTTGGGTAGCTGAGGTGATTGTCTGGTGATCTTGGGTAGCTGAGGTGATTGTCTGAAGTGATCTTGGTTGACTGAGGCGATTGTCTGAAGTGATCTTGGGTGACTGAGGTGATTGTCTGGTGATCTTGGGTAGCTGAGGCGATTGTCTGAAGTGATCTTGGTTGACTGAGGCGATTGTCTGAAGTGATCTTGGGTGACTGAGGTGATTGTCTGGTGATCTTGGGTGACTGAGGTGATTGTCTGAAGTGATCTTGGGTGACTGAGGTGATTGTCTGAAGTGATCTTGGGTGACTGAGGTGATTGTCTGAAATGATCTTGGTTGACTGAGGCGATTGTCTGAAGTGATCTTGGGTAGCTGAGATGATTGTCTAAAGTGATCTTGGGTAGCTGAGGTGATTGTCTGAAGTGATCTTGGATGACTGAGGTGATTGTCTGAAGTGATCTTGGGTAGCTGAGGTGATTGTCTGGTGATCTTGGGTAGCTGAGGTGATTGTCTGGTGATCTTGGGTGACTGAGGTGATTGTCTGAAGTGATCTTGGGTAGCTGAGGTGATTGTCTGGTGATCTTGGTTGACTGAGGTGATTGTCTGAAGTGATCTTGGATGACTGAGGTGATTGTCTAAAGTGATCTTGGATGACTGAGGTGATTGTCTGAAGTGATCTTGGGTAGCTGAGGTGATTGTCTGAAGTGATCTTGGATGACTGAGGTGATTGTCTAAAGTGATCTTGGGTAGCTGGGGTAATTGTTTGAAGTGATCTTGGGTAGCTGAGATGATTGTCTGAAGTGATTTTGGGTGACTGAGGTGATTGTCTGAAGTGATCTTGGGTGACTGAGGTGATTGTCTGAAGTGATCTTGGGTAGCTGAGGTGATTGTCTGGTGATCTTGGATGACTGAGGTGATTGTCTGAAGTGATCTTGGGTAGCTGAGGTGATTGTCTGGTGATCTTGGATGACTGAGGTGATTGTCTGAAGTGATCTTGGGTAGCTGAGGTGATTGTCTGATGTGATCTTGGGTGACTGAGGTGATTGTCTAAAGTGATCTTGGGTAGCTGAGGTGATTGTCTGGTGATCTCGGATGACTGAGGTGATTGTCTGAAGTGATCTTGGGTGACTGAGGTGATTGTCTGAAGTGATCTTGGGTGACTGAGGTGATTGTCTGAAGTGATCTTGGGTAACTGAGGTGATTGTCTGAGGGTAGTTTTTTAAAGGTTTTTATAGACTTATTTGTTTAAAGTGATTTTTTTTTCCAGCTTACTTAATTTTATTACCAAGGAATGTCACCAAGAAATAGAAATAAGAAAAGTGTATGAATAAACATGGAGAGGACGAGTGATTAGAAAATAAAAACATTTTTCTTAAAAAGGCAAAAAAAAAAAATTAGGAAAATAAAAAACAAAATTAATTTATTTCAAAAATTAAATAAAACTTTTTTCATGTCCCCAGGTGTGTTTGTTGGCTGATGCAGTTGGCTCCTTGTTTGCCTATGATGCTCTGACGTCTGCAAGTTCTCCATTCAGACATGATGGGTCTCACTGCAGCAGTCAGGAAAGCCTGGAGAGCAGTTCTGCATGTCCTGAGTCAGGTGTTGCTTCTATGCCTTTGAGCCGCTCATCCAGGAAGTTTAGTCTCAGTGACCCAAACTTGGTTCAGGATACATTATCTCCATCTAGAATTAGACATCCTGAACGTAGCAAGAGTCAAATCATGGCCTCAGATGTATCTAAAGCCTATCATTGTAGTCAGAAAGAATGTAAAGAAAAATTACTGCAGCCATTGCCTTCCCAGAATTCTTTGCTGAACTCTAAAGATAACAGTGCAACAAGGGAGAATGTGGAGAAGGCTGCAACAAGACGAACAAGTGGTGAAAGTGATGGATCATCCGCTGGATTTGACTTTGATGTTTCTGATTTTTTCATGTGTGGAGCTCCGCTGGGAATGATCTTGGCATACAGGAATTTTCAGAGGGGCAATGATTCTCGCTGTAAGTACAGGCTTTTTTTTGTATGAATGTTTGAAGCCACTTGGCTTTGTTCATTCATTGTCCAGTTGAGCCAGTCTACGTTGCATGGTGCTCAGAGTCTATTTCTTCATTCTGTTTTATTCTGTGCAGTATCATAGATGGAATCCATTGCTACATTCCACTGGCTTGAGAATCTTCTGTACACACATGCTATGATTGTAACTGACTCACAGAGCATGTTGAGAAAGGTGGAGACAGGCATGCTCTGTGCAGAGTGACAAGCATCGCTTCAGAGGTCCAGGGTAGTAGTGTCCTCTGGATATATTCTCTAGGTTATCCTGGTGTGCTGGGAAAGTAGCAGGCAGATAGACTGGCCGGCCCTCAACCACTTGGTGGTAAACTGATGTACGACAAGCTAGATGTTGTAAGGGGGGGCTTTGAGAGCAAGTGAATAGTGTGGAGGCACAAACAGATCATTACGTTACCATGGGAGTCTGGATGATGCTTAACACTTAAGGGAAAGGCCAGACGCATATACCATCCGACAGTTACTGATATCATCTGAAATTGGAACTCTTTGCTTGCTGCTGAAGATGGGGATGAAGTTCTTACAGGAGTGTCCCAAGTCCTGTAATGTTGATTCTTAATTCCACAGTCAACATCAACAATCCTTCTGCTTGGTGGGGGGGGGGGGGGGGGGGGGGGGGGGGGGTTGGACCTCCTCTGTTCCTTAATCCCTCATCATTCTCATGCATTTGTTTTTGAGGACTTCCAGTCTAATAAGGAGGACTAGGCATGGAAGAATGTTTAAGTTATTTTTGCTTCTGACAGGGCTTTGCTAAAGCAGTTTCCACATATGGACGAAAGTTTACGGTTTTGCTGTCTGAGCTACTGAGTTAAGAACTTGGTGCAGCACTGTGAGCTGTTTCTTTCACGTAGAATGACTTTTATTTGTAGTTAAGGTATTTAGAATGGCCAGGGGTATCCAGTTTATATGTAAAGTAAAGGACCCTTTTCTACACCCTTAGATGGATTGGGTACATCGGGCTAGACCTATATTTTATAGACCAAACGGCACTTGGTGGGTGATGTGGTCAGCATCTCGCCGGCTGCCTTTACTTCCAAGGACTACCTGGTACCCACTCAAGGCTATGTCGACCTGGGAGCCAAGGTCATTTTTGAAAAGCGTCTGGCCCCAGTCAGGATCCAAACCCATTACCTTCTGATCCGCAGGTGAGCATCTAGTCACTGGGCCACGGCAGCTCCCCAGTTTATATATGGGCTGACGAAATACTTTATGTAATAAAGGTAAAGGTGAGAGGTCAAATTCATTGCACCGGGTTTTATCCCATATGGCTCAGTCTCTCTCCACAGAACAGCTGTCTGCTGAGAGCGTCACACAAAGCATGACCTCTGTAGCTCCAGTGATGATCCCCAGGAATCTCCGTAAAAATTGCACTCATGAACTGGTTGCTCTGCAACCATGCCAGCGATAAACACCCTGAAAGACCATCACTGACCCTCATGGAAAAATTTACACAGACTGCAGTCTTAGCGTATCCACTAGCATACGCACACATTAAAAGTATAAAGCAGCCATCAGAAGTGCCGACACAAACAGTATGAAATTAGAAATGCAGTTCATCATTGACTGAAGCAGCAGTTACAAACAGACCAGTAGCTGCACATGCAATTAATTATAATCACATAAGGCACCACTAGTTCTGTGGCAACGAGCCAATCGCCATTTTCCGAATCTATGGTTACACAACACCATGCTGGTCACTGTAACAAAAAAAAATGTTCAAAGTGTCATGCCAAGCACACAGCTCTGTAGCAGAGCGACAAAACTTGGCCTATGTTAGAACTAAAATAACATGAGAAATTCAAGTATGTAACCTTTTGTTCGGTCGTAAATTCTCTGAAAAGAAGTATCCATAATGGCTCAGTTGTTCGCTTCCTCTCCTTAAAAAAAGGGAGGGGGGGGAGGCATAGGTGCTGAACTAAAGTTGTGTTGTGGTTTACAGCTAGGCTGCAATATCAGTGCCTTTCAACTAAACACATCCAATTTAATTAAAACCCTTATTAGTTGCATTTTGGGATTGATTTATCCTCCCCCCTCAACCCCCCAAATGGAGGGCCTAACATCAACACAGGTGTAAAATGCATTTGATTATGTTTTTGCCATACCCAGTGTTGAGACCAAACTGCCACCAAGTCTACAACATGTTCCACTCAAATGATCCAACTGCCAAACATTTAGAGCCACTGCTCCATGATGGCTTCTCCTATATACCCCCTGTCAACATTTGCCGATATTCTAAGTTCCCTTTGGGAGATGGTGAGCCGGTCCATGTTGGTGAGTACATTAACTAGTATCTGTGTGTATATTTGTGTGTGCTAGTGTTGAGTTGAGTTGAGTCGAGAATTGATATCACAGCACTCGAGGCATTTCCATGTGTGCTCCGTACTCATCTTCAGCAGCCAGTTCAATACTGATGGTAACAGTCACAATTTGGTTATATGTCTGTCTTGCCTTTCCTCTGAGTGTAGTGAGCCGACCAGACCCTTTGGTTACACCCAGCGGCCTCATTCTTTCCAGGCCATAACAATCTTCCTTCTCCACTGATTGCTTGTTTGTTCCCAAAGGGCCTTGACTACATCTGCTTTGTCATGTATCAATTCACCATCCAGTGGTGCAGATCCAGCCAATCTGTCTTCCTGTTCATTACCCACAAGGCCGGCATGGTCTGGACAAAAGATCCTAATTATCTTTACTACCTGTGACCTTCTCAGTTAAGCTTGCCACTCTGCTCGAAGCATCCCTGTGTGTGCAGGTGTCCATCTGTAGCATCCAGTTTGTCTACTTTTGTGACACACTTATTGAGGAGGCAGTGGGTCTATTCTTGTTTTCCCCACAATGGGATCCTGTAACCCACAATGGGATCCTGTAACCCACAATGGGATCCTGTAACCCACACTGGGAGAAAACTGTATACAACTATCAGAAAGAGACATTCAGTGTTCTTCAGTCATGTGATCAGAAGAGAGGCACTGGAGAACATTACGATAACTGGATAAGATCAGCAGCAGAAGAAGCAGACCAAGATGGATAATTCTTGATGATCTGAAGTGATTGCATGGTGGAATATCATCAGTGGAACTGATTCAAAATGCCAAGGACAGAGATATGTGGAGTGACAAGAGCGCCTACTCTACTGAACAGAGCACAGGATTGTATACCCCCATTCATATTGTTGTTGACACTTCAGGCATTCACAAGTGATCTCCATGAATGACGGTCTGTTATATTTTTGCCGACAATATCCCACATCAGTTTACATTGTTTCATTTTCCTTTTTGCTGTCCTTCTTGATACGAAGATCAACGTAGACAAAACACAAGTGATGACATTCTCCAGGAAAGGAAGAATCACCAATAACAAAATTGATGAACACCAGTTACAGCAGGCAAAAGATTGTACATATCTGGGGAGCATTTTTTCAGAAGATGAAAGACTTAACAAAGACATCCAATAAAGATGGAATAAAGATAATCAAGTTTTAGGCTAAATGGTACACATTTTGAATTGCAAGCATGTGAATATGGACACTAAAAAAACACTGTTGAACACAATATTCTTACCAACTATTTTTCTTCAGAAGACTGAAGAAAAAAGTCACTACAAAAATGAAATGTTTCATACTGTGCTCGGTGTAACGAGGAAAGATCAACTTAGGAACAATGATATCAGGAGGAGAGTCGGCACAGAACCAGCACTGAACTTTATAGGTAGACAATAAATGGTTTGGCGTGTAACAAGACTGGTATCAAACAGGCACCACAGAGAGCAATATTACACAGAAACAGCCATAACAGAGCCAGAGGTCGACCACGCAGAACATGGACTGCAGAAATATCAGAGACATAGTAAATTACTTTATAAGAAGTGAACAAAAGGGCTCGTTCCAGAGATCTCTTCCTGCCCTGATGCCGCGAGACATTCCAGGAGTAGAAAAAAGAAGAAGAAAAGTAGTATCCTTCTGTTTTCTTTAGCTAATCTACATTTGTTTCTTCTGCCATCCACCAGAGAGCCCTCTTTGCCAAGTATCACCAGGCATTCTGCAAAAATGTCTCGGTACTAAACCTCTATTTCCTGTTTGTTTGCAGTTGAAACAGTACAAAAACATCTGAAGCTTTTTACCTTGGAGACAAGAGAGCACAAATGTTCCTCAGAAAATATTCGGCATCTACAGCGACAGAACAGTTTCAGCAGTTTGACCAGTACCTCAAGTGGATTGGGCGAGAACACTGTTGCTTCTATTACCAATGGTAAGTCCTTCTGCATAGATCAAAATTTAAGGTACCTTGCTTACTGACAAAAGTAATTCATTGACACAAAGTTAGTTGGTTAACCTTTACAAGACTTTGCAGAACCAACCCAACTATTATTTTGGCTGTTGTGGTTTTTCTAGGCTTATTTTATGTTCAGTAGTTTGCCATTGCTTCTGAACAGTCAGCTCTTGGTACAACTGTCGAAACCAATGCAAGACAAACCGTCTGCAGCTGGGATCGAACCTGGCAACCCGGCACGTTTGCAATGCCTAAGCCACTGACATTGACAATTCATTGACATAAATAGGAATAAAAAATCATTTTGTGGTCATGTTATGAGAAGAAGGAAACTGGAATATGTTGTGACCACTGAAAAGATCTGGGGGAAAAGAAACAGAGAAAGACAATGTGAGACATTGTTTTACAGCCATTTATCATGGCATGAAAAGGGCCTTGAACACACAAACTAATACAGCCTTTTAAAGATCACAAATTGTGGAAGGACGATATCACTTATGCCGAGCGGCAAGGCACTTGATGCTGATGATGATAATGATGTATTGAGGATCTTTGTTCAAATTAGAGATGGGGAAATACTTCTTTATTGTCTTTTTTTTCAAATAATATTTGTGAAACTATGCTTTACAGTTTCTGTTATGTTGTTAATGAATGTATGCCTTTCAGATAGTAGTGAAACAGTTACTGTATTAATCCTCAGTAAAAAAAAAGGAAAATTCTTCTTCTTATCCTCTTCCTCTTCCTTATCTTCTTCTTCTTCTTCTTCAGCATTCTAAGCCTTTAAGGTGCAGATATCACCCACGTCACATTCACCTCAGTGATTGGCCTTCTATTTCTAACTGGGAATTCCAAGTGTTTGTAAGCCTGTAAATTTTCTCTCCAGTATTGTCTTTGTCTGCCTCATGATTTTCTCAAATTTCACTATTTTCTGTATGCAGTTGTTGTTTTTTCTCTCTTTGTCTACCACTCTCTTTATACACCCTAACCATTGCAGTCTATAAGCCCTTATGATGCCAGTAACATTAGATGATTTTAAACAAATTATGAATTACATGTCATTTCCATCCATCTAAAAGATAAATTTTTTTTAAATTATTTGACTCATGCTCCAAGCCCTAAGGTAGAGGACCAGTATGTCTGGCTTTGTCTGCTCTCTACCCATTGACTTGTCAGGCTTTGTCTGCTCTCTACCCATTGACTTGTCTGGCTTTGTCTGCTCTCTACCCATTGACTTGTCAGGCTTTGTCTGCTCTCTACCCATTGACTTGTCTGGCTTTGTCTGCTCTCTACCCATTGACTTGTCAGGCTTTGTCTGCTCTCTACCCATTGACTTGTCTGGCTGTTTTTCTACTTTCTACCCATTGTCTTGTCTGGCTTTGTCTGCTCTCTACCCATTGACTTGTCTGGCTGTGTTTCTACTTTCTACCCATTGACTTGTCTGGGTTTGTCTGCTCTCTATCCTTTGACTTGTCTGGCTTTGTCTGCTCTCTACCCTTTGACTTGTCTGGCTTTGTCTGCTCTCTACCCATTGACTTGTCTGGCTTTGTCTGCTCTCTACCCTTTGACTTGTCTGGCTTTGTCTGCTCTCTACCCATTGACTTGTCTGGCTGTGTCTGCTCTCAACCCATTGACTTTTCAGGCTTTGTCTGCTCTCTACCCATTGACTTGTCTGGCTTTGTCTGCTCTCTACCCGTTGACTTGTCTGGCTTTGTCTGCTCTCAACCCATTGACTTGTCTGGCTTTGTCTGCTCTCTACCCATTGACTTGTCTGGCTTTGTCTGCTCTCTACCCATTGACTTGTCTGGCTTTGTCTGCTCTCTACCCATTGACTTGTCTGGCTTTGTCTGCTCTCTACCCTTTGACTTGTCTGGCTTTGTCTGTTCTCTACCCATTGACTTGTCTGGCTGTGTCTGCTCTCAACCCATTGACTTTTCAGGCTTTGTCTGCTCTCTACCCATTGACTTGTCTGGCTTTGTCTGCTCTCTACCCGTTGACTTGTCTGGCTTTGTCTGCTCTCAACCCATTGACTTGTCTGGCTTTGTCTGCTCTCTACCCATTGACTTGTCTGGCTTTGTCTGCTCTCTACCCATTGACTTGTCTGGCTTTGTCTGCTCTCTACCCTTTATCTTTTCTGGCTTTGTCTGCTCTCTACCCTTTGACTTGTCTGGCTTTGTCTGCTCTCTACCCATTGACTTGTCTGGCTTTGTCTGCTCTCTACCCATTGACTTGTCCGGCTTTGTCTGCTCTCAACCCATTGACTTGACTGGCTGTGTCTGCTCTCAACCCATTGACTTGTCTGGCTTTGTCTGCTCTCTACCCATTGACTTGTCTGGCTTTGTCTGATCTCAACCCATTGACTTGTCTGGCTTTGTCTGCTCTCTACCCTTTGACTTGTCTGGCTTTGTCTGCTCTCTACCCATTGACTTGTCTGGCTTTGTCTGCTCTCAACCCATTGACTTGTCTGGCTGTGTCTGCTCTCTACCCATTGACTTGTCTGGCTTTGTCTGCTCTCTACCCATTGACTTGTCTGGCTGTGTCTGCTCTCTACCCATTGACTTGTCTGGCTGTGTCTGCTCTCAACCCATTGACTTGTCTGGCTTTGTCTGCTCTCTACCCATTGACTTGTCTGGCTTTGTCTGCTCTCAACCCATTGACTTGTCTGGCTGTGTCTGCTCTCTACCCATTGACTTGTCTGGCTGTGTCTGCTCTCAACCCATTGACTTGTCTGGCTGTGTCTGCTCTCAACCCATTGAGCCCTGTTGGTAGCTAAGCCACCACTGACATAACTCTCAGGGTCATTGTCAAACACAGGTTCCCCTATCTCAATAAGACAGTCATCTTTGTGGGAACGCATAACAATATTTTTTAACTAAATAAAGTAAGTTATAGTCTATTACTCAGCAACCATTCAGTGTAAATTGTTGAAATTAGGCATGAAACATTTTAATAGACATGCCCTTGTTAGAAATGTTTTTTCATGTATACAAATATTTGGTTTTAATGTTGTTTTATCTGCGGCAATTGACAAAAGGAGACATTTAATCAAAACAAGCAGTCAACATGCTTACATTTAATTCAGGAACAGGAACTTTTCAAAACATCAGATTGCACTTATTTCATAGACATTTTACTCTCATGTGGTTATCTTTAGCATTAACCTTCCATGAGTTATACGAACACAATTTTACATTGTATGCAGAATAGGTTATAAAAAAGTCACCACACATGACTGTCATGTGACTTGATTTCCAAAAAATCTCCTCGCATGTGTCAATTACTGTATATTCATTTTGTTGTTGTTGTCTATGGGCACACAAATTAGTCAAACAAATATTACAGGCATGTGGCACTTTAAGAAATCAGCAGCACCTGTGCAATTGTAAATAATAAAAACATAAGGACATTGGAAATCTGAATACAAAAATTTATGTTGATCTTTACAGGAGTTTTCTTTATTTGTTAAAGTATGAGGGCACAACTTTTGAAGCACACTATAGTAAAATAAAACCGTATTGATGTTTTTCATTTCTTTCAGTGACCAGAAACTGGTGGGGAGTGAAGAGAGTGGACTATGTCCTGTACTGTCCAGAAGTCCTGCATACATTTCCCACCAATGCCCTGCCCCATTTGTTTCATGCAAGCTTCTGGGAGTCCTTGGATATGGTGGCTTTTATACTCAGACAGGTCAGTGGTTTTTAGATGGTTATGTCTTCTGATATCAGGAAGAGAGTTGGCACAGAACCAGTACTCAACTGTGTAGGTAGACGACAAATTCAATGGTTTGGCCATGTACAAAAGACTGGCATCAGACAGGGAACCACAGAGAGCAATGTTATACAGATACAACAGTAACAGATCCAGAGGTTGACCACCCAGGAGATGGACCACAGAGAGCAATGTTATACAGATACAACAGTAACAGATCCAGAGGTTGACCACCCAGGAGATGGACCACAGAGAGCAATGTTATACAGATACAACAGTAACAGATCCAGAGGTTGACCACCCAGGAGATGGATCACAGAGAGCAATGTTATACAGTTACAACAGTAACAGATCCAGAGGTTGACCACCCAGGAGATGGACCACAGAGAGCAATGTTATACAGATACAACAGTAACAGATCCAGAGATTGACCACCCAGGAGATGGACCACAGAGAGCAATGTTATACAGATACAACAGTAACAGATCCAGAGGTTGACCACCCAGAAGATGGACCACAGAAATTTCAGAGACATTGAAAAGTACTTTATATGAAGCCAACAGAAGGACCTGTTCCTGAGATCTCAACCTGCCTTGATGCCATAAGGCATTCTAGGAATAGGGAAAAGAGGAAGAAGGAGAAGATGTCATTGGTTTTTATTCAGAATTTGTCAGTGGGGTGTTATCTTTGAAGTCAGAGTGTATCTGTCTGAGAGGCAAGGGACCAGTAGGTCTGCATACAAATCCTTAACCAGTTTTGCCTGGGGGCTGCGTTGTCTTGAGGCATGGTGTCCACCTCAAGTGCTGGAGGTTCCGGGTTCAATCCCCAGTGAGGGCTGGGATTTTTTTTTCACGTGGACTTGGACTTCTAGTATTTCTCCTGGTCCCTGGGTAGTGAGATCGGACGTGGGCATTGCTGCGCACATAAAAAATCACTTGGCAGTTGGAAATTGAAAAGAGTAGCTTATTGGCACTCCTCAGACAAAATTTGAGTTTAAAATCTACCCAAAGTATTTCAAGATCCTTGCCGGTGCTACAGAGCCTGTGCTATGTGCTTAGCTTCTTCGGGCTCAGACTTGAGTTAGAAGAAAGAATGGAGCACTTATGGGTTACTACCCGTGTGCCATAATGTTGAACAGTTGTTCAAACTTCAGACTTCAAACAAGGGTTGCCTGCAATGGACCTCAAACATATGCTTTTCTTTGCCCTGGATGTACACTCTCTCATATCAGAAGTTATTACACCAGATGAAGTGTAGAGCCATTCATCTTCACAGTGTCACAGATATAGACAACAAATGAATATTTCAGATGAAGTGCCTTCATCAGCCCATTACAATAAACTACAATACCACAAATACAAACAAGAATTCTTAAAGCACATAACTAATTTATTTCTGATATTGTTGAATGTTGAATTAAGAATCGACATCACAGCACTCAGGACACTCCCATAAGTGCTCAGTCTTCATCTTCAGCAGCTAGCAAAGAGTTCCAATTCCGATGGTACCAGTAACTGTCTTATTGTATATCCGTCTCATCCTTTCCCTCAGTGTTGAGTGTCGGCCAGATCCCCTGGTAACTCCCCGTAGCCGCATTCTTCTTAGACTGTAATGATCTGTCTGCGTCTCCGCACTGTTCACTTGCTCCCAAAGGGCCCTCACAACATCTAACTTGTCATACATCAGTTTACCACCAAGTCTGGCAGAGCCAGCTCTCTGATAGAATTCATGTTTCTGTCATGTCCTTCTTCTTCGCATTCACCGACTGTAAACTCTGGCAGAAATAGCTGGTTGTTTGTCCACCTCTGGACTTAAGTCTTGTTCCAGAACCTGTGTTGTGTCCATTTAACAAATCTGACTTAATTGTATGCAGATTGTTGGTTCCTTGCCTTTCAGACAGATGTACTCACACTTCAAAGGAGAGAAAAGTAAATGATGTGAGCAAAACTAAAGAAAGACACAAGACATTTCTTAATCCTGACAAAGGTAAAAGTGTCATTCAAAATATCAGAACTTTTTGCAAATCAAAATCAGAATAATGGTGCTTTTTTCCTAGACCCTTGTTTGCCTTTTACTGTCAGGTTTTGAAGAGGCATCTAGTGTGAGCCTTAGTATTTGCTGTATATCTACGCTGCTATTCATGGTTTTAAATATTCCTTGTATCCATTGCTTGCATGTGTATTCTGTAGCTTTGCCTCGATTGTGTCTAAATCACAGGGCTCTCTATGGGGCACTATCTTATGGTAGTCTTAACATATGTATGTATGTAAGTTGTACCCCACCAGGACATCACACAAAGTGATAAACACCCAGTGACACAAAGTGCCACCATGTGGATGAGGATCACCGTAAGGAGGTCCCAGAAACCGCGTTCAGCCCGTTAAGCCATATTTATGGCCCGGTTATGTTTAGGGCCCCCAGCAAAAGCCAGGGTGGAGCTTCAAATAACGAAAAATTTAACCTTATATGGGAACGGCATAGATGTATAATCTTAACATATATTCATATCATGGAAAAATATAAAACTGAATGAAAAGTAGATCAGCAAACTTCACAATATAATAAACACAAACAAAACATGAACGTTGCCGTTGCTGCACCTTAATAGCACATACATAAATCAAATAAAACACATGAATACACAGAATTACTTAACTGACATATCCTAAAGCAGCCACATTGATGTCTTGCCAGTGAGGCCCAAGAATAAATGGCTCAAGTATGCCAAGGGTCGTAACTTGAGAATTTTATATGAAACTGTGTTAACAGTTCAGTCCCCTTATGTTCAGACTATTTCTGCTGACCCTGGGCTTAGTTTAGCTCTGGTTCCATTACAATGTTTTCCTCATATCATAATTTCTGATCCTGTCACCTTATGTTACTTTTAGAATTCAGCATAGACATTTCATTTCTGTTTGTTATTTATTTTATTTATTTTTTCTCCATATTTTGTTTATATCCACATTTGGCACTGATAAACACACAGTTTTTAAAATGTTGTATTGAATAGGGCTCTGTTCACCTAACCTAGTCATCTCCATGTGAGATGCAATTTTTCTCTATTTTTTAAGCCCTACCCTGGCTCTTGCCAGGGGCCGCAATATTGCCAGACCGTAAATAGGGTCTAATGGCTGAACGCGGTTTCTGGGACCTCTCCACGGGTGATCCTCATCCACATAGTGGCACTTTGTGTCATCGGGTGTTTATCGCTTGTGTGATGTCCTAGTGGGGTAAAAATCTACTCTACTATAGGGCTCTGTTTTTTTCAAATGTTTCATGTATATTCTGCAATATTGGTCCAATGATTTGATTTTATTGTTAGTCAAAGTTCCAACAGCACTACAGATGGGTTGCCCCCTAACTGTTCTGCTCCGGTGCCTGCGGAAATCAAACACAATTTTATTCACTATCCCAACTGAAAACTAGTGAAAAACTGTCCCAGGACAGAATCTTGTAGCTTGCTAACGCAAAGTAAAAATGCATAAGGCAGCTGTCAGATGTGCCAATGCTAACAGTCCCACACTAGAAGTGCAGCTCACTGTTGATGCAGACAGCACTGCCCCACACATGTGATTTTATCACTTACTAGTGATTTGAAAATAACTAGTTGCTAAGAGTTTGAAGGTCATTTTTCTTTTGATCTGCTCATTCAGGTGTTGAGACAAAACGAGTTCAGGTTAGAGCCAATACCTGGTTTAGTTCCGGGTGCCATTCCTGGTTTCAAGATGAAAACACCAAGAGAGAAATGGATCAAGAGACGAACCACAATTAAAGTTAGGGTAAGAGTAGGTGTTGAAGTAAAATAACACATGTTTATTTTATGTTTTTCTCTTCATTTTTTTTCTTCATCTATCTTTTCTTCCTGGAGCTATTGCTGCTAAGTTCCTCATCTTGTTCCTCGTTGTTATGCATCTTATAATGTTACTACTCATTATCTTTAGCTTTGTCTCTTCATCCTTCTTCTCCTCCTGCTTCTCTAACTTCTGCTTCTCCTCTTCTTCCCCATTCTCCTATTCTTCTTTTTTGTCTGCTTATTCTTATTATTATTAATTTTGTGTTATGTCTATATCATCATCAAGTGCCTTGCTGACTGGCATGGGCAATCATGCCTCTCCACAATCTGCGATCCGCAACTGGGTGTATCAGTGTTATCATGTGTTCATACCCCCCCCCCCCCCCCCATGCCATGATAAAAGGTTGTCAAGAATCTTCTCACACTTTATCTCCGTCTCTATGTGAGACTTTTGTTGTTGTTGCTTTTTAAAAGCCCCACCCTGGTTGTTGTCAGAGGGCCCTTATGTTGAACGGGGTTTCTGGGACCTCTCCACGGGTTATCCTCATCTGAATAGTGGCACTGTGTGTCACTGGGTGTTTATCACTCAGTGTGATGTCCTGGTGGGGTAGAAAGTCTGTCAGTCTTCTCACAATCTTTCCACACATCTTGCCAGTGGTCACATCATGTCTCAGTTTCCCTCTTCTCATAACATGACTAACAAAATGATGACTGTCACTTTCTGATGTTTGTCATAAGTTGTCTTTGAACCCTTGCTTCTTTAAAAACATCTGGGTTGCTCTTTTTTAGCTATCTAAGGAATTCTAAGTAACACCATTGCATCCATCATCATCATCATCAGTTCTTTTTATACCTAGTGGCACATAAGGCTTCAAAGAGGACTTTTGGTGCTTTCCTGTCCTGTGCAATCTTCAGTGCAGTTCTCTATGTCAGAGATGTCGCGTTCAGGTCACTTTCCATTGTTCGTCTTTATATTGTTTTTGGGCGCCTCTTTTTTCTCTTTCACTCTGGTATCCATGTGAGAGCTGTTTTGGCAGGCATATCAATATTCATTCTCACAATGTAGCCAAGCCATTTCCATTTTCTCTTGGTTATCATACTGTCAATAGAGTTTTCATCCATACACATACAAAATGAATGCACAAACCAAACAAACCAGCCACTAGCAAATTTCTGAATGTCACAATGTAAACTACTGGGTACACAGATGAGGAAAAAAAAAGCATTTAACACAAAATGCACCACAACAACAACTTAACCCAACCACCCTGAAAACTTTGTCAGAAGCGAAGTGACTAGGTTTTCATGGCAAGGACCAAATGGAAAGTCGTTAAAGAAGACAGTGGAGCCCTTGCTTCTACCACCAGCCGCATGACAATGGAGGTCATGGCTGTGACAAAGGCCCTAGAATGGCCCAGGAGTTCACCAATCATGTTTGTTCAGTGACTAAATGGGCATGCTACAACTCGAGATCAGAGGAAAGGCAAGATGGACGTTTATTCAGAATGGTACTGGCCCCATTAGTATCGGAACTCTGCACTGGCTGCTGAAGATGGAGACGGAGTGCTTATGGTAATGCCCCGAGTGCTGTGATGTCAGTTCTTGAATCAACTTAACTCAACTCATGTGCACGCTACAGAAAGAGAATGATCAACCCTGAAAACTCGATACAGTTATTTCCAGTTGTGACACAGTCCAGTAAATGCTGATACATCGCCATGTCTGCAGTGACCTGTTCACGAAAAGTGCATGTGAATTCCACTGATTCTGTGTCACCTGCACAGTGTTAACATAAAAGGCCAGGATATGAAGGATATAGCAACTAACAATAGCATTTAGTGGGTTTTCCTTATGACCCTAGGGGCTCTTTTTTCTTTTTTTTTTTTAACGTTGATGTCAAATTTTCCACCAAAATAAGTCATCCGCTACATATTATTTTAAAAGATCCCCTCCCCCATCCCCCCCCCCCCCACCCCACCTTTCCCGACTTGAAAGTAAAGTAAAGGACCCTTTTCTATGCCTTTAGGCGTATTGGGTATATAGGGCTAGACCTATATTTTTATAGACCAATCGGCACTTGGTGGGTGATGTGGTCAGCATCCTGCAGACCACCTTTACTTCCCAGGACTGCACCTGATACCCACTCATGGCTGGGTTGACCTAAGAGTCAAAGTCATTTTTGAAAAAGGTCTGACTCCGTCAGGGTGCGAACTAATGTCTAGCCACCAACACTACGGTGACTCCCACATTTAATTTAATGCTTCAGCGTATTCACTTTTATTGATTACCCCCCTTTGTGTATCTTTGTATATTTTGAAGCAAATGTACAAATCAATTTTTATTATCATTATTATTATTAGTGACCTGTGTAATGCAGGTTTTTTTTTTTGGAGGGGGGGGGGGAGTGGGGGGGGGGGGGGGGGGAGGGGAGGGGTAGTTTGGGGGTGGGGGTGTTTTCTTTGTTGGTGATTTTTTTATATATTTTTATTTTTTATTTTTTATTTAATCATTTGTGGAATGAAGTATTTAACTTTACTTTAGGCAATGAAACTTAGAAGTATGTCTATTGACTGTAATAATCAATCAGTGTTTCTTTGAATCTACAATCAATCTGCAGTCAATCTGTAATGTCTATAAATCAATAATTCAAACAATAAATCAGTCAGTCAATCTGCCAGCCATGTTTCAGAACTTACAGCCAAACCACAGAGCTAACGATGTGATTGTTCTAGAGAACACGCCGCAGCTGCTGACTGCCAAGTTTGTGTATGGGTCCCTGGATATTGCCTCTTTGTCGGGGGAAAAGGTGAGTACTGGCTGCCAGGAGCAAGCACATTAGGGGGGTGGGGGTGGGGGGGGAGGGGGGGGTTGGTGGTGTGGGTTGACTTTGGGGGGGGGGGGGGGGGGGGGGGGGGGGGGGGGGGGGGGGGGGGGGGGGGTGGGGGATGGGGGGGGGGGGGGGGGGGGGGTGGGGGGGGGGGGGATGTTTTGATGATTATTGTAGGAATTGACAACACTGGTTTTTTTTTTTTTTACTATTAAATAGTAATATTTGAAAGCATGTTTGCTTGCCTTCAGATCCAAAGGTCATAGGTTTGGATCCTAATAGAGCCTGAGTTTGTTTTTTTGTTTTTTTTTTTTCAAAAAATGTCCTTGGTAACCAGGTTGACCCAGCCTTAAATTATTACCAGAAAAATTCGTTGGAAGTAAAGGTGGCCAGTGTGATGTTGACCACATCAACCACTGAGTGCCGATTGGTGTATAAAAAATAGGTCTAGCCCTATATGCCCTATGCACCTGAAGGCTGGGAAAAAAGTCTAATTTTTACATGTTTTTTTTTAACTTTACAAAGCATGTTGGTGACTTTTGGGAAATGGTTTATTGACTGTTATTGTGTTCTGCAATTTTTTATTTTAATTAATTTCTGTTTGAGGAGTGAATTAATAATACTATTCACTGAATTGGCACATTTTATAAGTAAGTGGTAATATAATGCTAATTGGTGACTTTTAGGAAATCTATTATTAGGTAAATTATTGATTTAAAAAAAAATAATGAAGCGGCATCCGTGGCTTAGACGTTGCGAGTCCGACTTGTAATTGCAACGTACCGCAATTGAAACCCACTGCTGGCTGCATGAATTTTTATCATGGTATGGGGCGTCACAGGTAGACCCAGCCTAAAATAGGTACCAGGATGTTTGTACTGGAGAAGTAAAGACGGCCTGCGTAATGCTGACCACATTACCCCCCCCCCCCCTCCCCCCCTAGTGATGATTGGTCTCTAAAACAAATGGGTGCTCTTCCCATATGCTCGATACGCCTAAAGGCATGAAAAGGGATCTTTACTTACTTAAAAAATGTATTAGTGAAGTTTATAGAGCAGACTGGTCACTGTTATCACATGAATTGAAAACTCTTTTTCAAAATGAATTATTACAATTATAAAACAAATTGATGATTTTTTTTTCCCTGTGTGGATTCCGGAGCCCTATTGTGGAAAAAACAAGAATAGACCCACTGACTCCCAAAAAGCATGTCGTAAGAGTCGACAAACTGGGGAGCTTCCTTTGAAGTCGGAGTGCATCTGCCTGAGAGGCAATGAACCAGCAGACTGCATTCAATTGAATCAGATCTGTAAAACTGATGCACACGCAACACTCAGGTTCTGGAGCAGGACTGCAGCCCAGAAGTGGACGAACAACCAGAGCTTTATGCTAGAGTGTACAGCCGGTGAACATGAAGAAGAAGAAGAAGATGATTTTTATAGTGTGACACTGTAACCATTATTGTGCACATTGACAATTCTTTTGTTTTAATAATAATTTCATAATATTTGTGGAACAAATTAGTTTCTTGGGGGAGTGATTTAGAGTTGTAATTTAGTTAATTCTATGCTATCGCCCCTTTTAGTCAATTATTTAGAATTATTTTTTCATTCTTGTTGCTAACTTATCTCATCCACCTATTGTTATTGTTGTGAGCTGTGTATTACAGTTACAGTATTGTTACCTTTGTGATGTACCTATTACAGTTACGGTGTTGTTACCTTTGTGATGTACCTATTACAGTTACGGTGTTGTTACCTTTGTGATGTACCTATTACAGTTACGGTGTTGTTACCTTTGTGATGTACCTATTACAGTTACGGTGTTGTTACCTTTGTGATGTACCTATTACAGTTACGGTGTTGTTACCTTTGTGATGTACCTATTACAGTTACGGTGTTGTTACCTTTGTGATGTACCTATTACAGTTACGGTGTTGTTACCTTTGTGATGTACCTATTACAGTTACGGTGTTGTTACCTTTGTGATGTACCTATTACAGTTACGGTGTTGTTACCTTTGTGATGTACCTATTACAGTTACAGTATTGTTACCTTTGTGATGTACCTATTACAGTTACGGTGTTGTTACCTTTGTGATGTACCTATTACAGTTACAGTATTGTTACCTTTGTGATGTACCTATTACAGTTACGGTGTTGTTACCTTTGACGAATGTGTTTATCAGGTGGATGTGAATATAATGAAGCAACCTCCTACGGGAGACTGGGCCCTCTTGGCATCCAGCACTACAGACAGCCATGGAAGGTTTTCATACCTCATACCTGAAGCAGATAGGCTACCCCAAGGCATGTATCCAGTCAAACTGGTTGTGAGGTGCGGCCATTTTTTTTTTAAAATTTTTAATTGCAGATTTTTACTATAAAATGACAATGGAAAAGTTTTAAAAAGCAGATTTTTATTGCATTTATTTTCTCAGTTGTTTAGTATTTGTCTTCTACTCTGTCAGTTTGAAATATTTTTGTTGCTGGCACCTTTCTTTCTTTTCAGACGGGTGTGCTCCTTTCTACTTTTTAACTCAAGCCTCAGTCTGAAAAGTCTCAGGGCAGTGCACAAACTCCATTGCATCAGCGAGGATCCTGAAATACTTTGGGTAGATTTTAACATCAAATTTTGCCCAGGCAGCGTTGTTAGGCTACTCTTTTCGATTTCCAACTGCCAAGGTATTTAGTACATGCGCGACAATACACCCAAAAGTCCGGTCTTACTACCCAGAAACCAGGGGAAATTACTAGAAGTCTATGTGAAAAAATTCACAGCCTTCACCGAACTAGAGCCCGGACCTGCAACACTCGAGGCAGATGCTATACCTCAAACCATGCAGCCCCCTAGACTATAGTGTTATATTGTGCTTTAAGGATGCATGGGACTCACAGCCTGTGGCGATAGTCAGTGTGGCTAGAAAGAGCTGCTTGTTTTCAAAAAAGTTTGCCACAACTTCTGCTGTGGTAGTTTTGTAGAACATGTTGCTTATGCGGCATGATCTCTCTCTCTCTCTCCTGGATCAAGACTGAAGCCCAGAAGGAAATGAACAATCAGGAATTTCCACCTGTATTTATAGCTGGTGAAGGCAAAGAAAAAGATGAAGAATTAACAAAAAGGAGGAGGAGGAGAAAGAAAATACTTTTTTTTCCCTCCTCTGCTTCTTTTTTTTTTTTTTACTTCTGGAATGCCTTGCAGCATCAGGGCAGGAAGAGATCTCTGGAATGGACCATTCTGTTTACTTCATATAAAGTACTTTTCAGTATCTAGGATGTTTATGCGGTCCATTTTCTCTGTGGTCGACCTCTGGCTCTGTCACAGTTGTATCTGTATAATATTGCTCTCTGTGGTGCCCTGTCTGATGCTAATCTCGTTACATGGCCAAACCATTTGATTAAATACTTTTCCTCATTTTCTATAAATACTCAGAAAAATAAAATAAATGTTCATGTAAATAAAATACTTATTTAACATATATTTTCATCAGGGGAGATCATACTTACGTGGACTTGTTCCTGACAGTTCTCCCCCCAAAGACAGAGACCGTTGTCTTCAGCATCGATGGGTCTTTCACTGCCAGTGTCAGCATCACAGGAAAGAACCCAAAGGTCAGAGCTGGGGCAGTTGATGTGGTCAGGTGAGTCAGGATACAGGATATGCCATCTTTAAGTGGGTTTAGAATGGTCATTAAACAGCATTAAAAGTTTATAGTTAAGCACCATAAAGGAGATCAAAATTTTGAGAGCATGCATCTTCCCTGTAGCAACATGATAATCCTTATTATCCAGTTTCGTCCTCTTTAGGACAAAATTTTTTGTTTTTGCCCCACCCTGGTTTTTGCCAGGGGCCGCAATATAGGCAGGCCATATATATGGCCAATTGTCTGAACGCGGTTTCTGGGACCTCTCCACGGTGATCCTCATCCACATGGTGGCACTTTGTGTCAACGGGTGTTTATCGCTTGTGTGATGTCCTGGTGGGGTAGAAATTCAGTCAGTCAATCAACATGATAATCCAGTTGCATCCTTTTGAGGATGAAATTTTTTATTTAATGAAGCCCCACCCTGACTTTTGTGTTGAGGAAATGAACAAGCTGATGAACTTGTTGATAGGGCTACTAATTGCCAACTAGCTAGCTAAATAATTATCTTCTTTTTTTTTCCTTATGTCCTACTTGCTTATCCCGCTAAGCACCACAAAGATGAGTTGTATGTAGTTGAATTGCTTGTGGTAATGTCATATTATGTTTCTGTAGTGTTTCTAACTTCTTCCATCTATTTCTTTCTTGGTTGACCTTTTGCCTTGAAGCCTGCTATTCTCATGGAGTGCACTCTAGCTGCTGGTTTCTTTAGTTCCATTCTCACCAGAAGACCAATGCATTCGATTCTTTGACATCATTCATTGGTACTGTGCCTACTATGCTTAGCTCTTCACTGAAGACTCTGTTTCTTAATTAAGTAAACAGTAAATGTTAATTTTAACTTGAATTTTCATTAAATTTCAGGCAGTGGCAAGACCGTGGCTACTTGATTTTGTACGTTTCTGCGAGACCGGACTTGCAGCATCGCAAAGTAGTGACCTGGCTGACTCAGCACAACTTCCCTCATGGCATTGTGGCCTTCATGGACGGTCTGTCCAAGGATCCGCTGAAGCAGAAGTTCAATTACATTAAGTCTCTGCAGACTGAGGTTGGTACTGAGACTGTTGCATGTTGTTCTGTTGGCTTGTTTGTAATAATAACAAGAGACAGGCTAAGATTAACGCTGAAGAATCACTCAACAGGTACTGAAATGGGAAACAAATGAATTGAGGAAACAAATCCATGATGCTCAGAGAGCAAGGTGAAGGGCTTGATCATTTCATCATAAAGACTTCCAATTTGGGTGGGTTTTTTTTTAATGCAGACTGCTGGTTCCCTGCATCTCAAGCGGGTGCACTCTAACGCTTAAAAAAACACCCCTAATTAGTTGCCTTGTTTACCGTGTGGGTCCTGGGACCCCTTTGTGGCGAAAACAAATGTGGACCTACTGTCTCCCCAAAAATGAAGTCAATTCTCGTGACTTTAAACCACTGATGCCATCATTCCTTTTAAAAAAATTAAATGGTTATCCCTTTTGCTCAATGTTCATTATATTTCTTCAGACTGACTCTTTGTGGCAGGTGGTAAAAGTAGTAGTGGTAATTTTTCAACAATATCACGTTCAGCCCTCAGACTTATAACTGAGATATATAGTATTTATTGAATTCCCAGTGTATACATTTATTTTATATTTATATATTGCAAAATTATTTAAATGACCAATGTCTAATTTGTATTGTTTCACATATGGCTTTGATCTGGTTTTTGATAGAAACTGTACTATGAATAATTAGACAATCTGACTAACACTGTGTAATTAACTCTTTGAGTCCCAAGGAACGCATCATACGTTCATAGGTTACTGCCTAGACGCCCAATGAATGCATGATGCTCCGATTTTATGTCTTTTTTGACCACCCCTTGGGCCTGGGATGCTAAACCTTCTGGGACTCAAAGAGTTAACATGTTGGATTTATTATTCCCTTATTGAAATAGTTGTTTATTCCCAACGATTTTATCTTTAGGGGAAACACACAGGTCTCTGGGGCTGTTTGTTTATAAACAAGCTGTCCATCTTCATAGGTAATTTGCAGATTTATGTAGTCAGTTAATGGTTTTCTTTGGGTTTCATATTTCCTACACTCCAGGAAATAGGTGAGTTAAGTTGAGTCTAGAATTGACATCACAGCACTCAGGGCATTCCCATGTGTGCTCCGTCCTAATCTTCAGCAACTAGCACATAGTTCCAATACTAATGGTACCGGTCACAATCTGGCTATATGTCCGTCTTGCCTTTCCTCTGAGTGTAGTGAGCCGGCCAGACCCTCTAGTTACACCCGGTGCCTCATTCTCTCTAGGCCATAATAATCTTCTTTCTCTACTGATTTCGTTGCTTGTTCCCAAAGGGCCTTGACCACATTTGCCTTGTCATACCACCCAGCGGTACAGATCCAGCCAATCTGTCTGCCTGTTCATTACCCTATATACCTGCATTGCCTGGAGAAAAGATCCAAAGTATGCTCACTAACCGTGATCTACCCAGTGAAGCTTGCCACTCTGCTCGAAGCATCCCTGTCTTCACCTTTCTCAGCATGCCTTCAGAGTCGTTACAATTATAACATATGTATGCATCTTGTTCTCTAGCCACCGGAGAGCTGCAGTTACCGCCTCCACCTCCAGCTAATAGTGCTCTATATTATTGAATTTCTGGCATAGATTACAGGTCTCTGCCTGTACAGTAAAGCTGGACCATCCATGATGGTAAAAGGGCATTCTGGCCAGACGGCCAAAACATCTCACCTATTGCACTTTCATGAATTATGTAAGGTAATATTTTTTTTCAGGCTCAAATTGAACTAAAAGCTGCTTATGGCTCCAGCAAAGATGTCAGCATTTACAAAGATCTCGGGCTACAGCCCAACCAAATCTTCATTGTTGGCAAAGTTTCCAGAAAACAGTTTGGACACGCTCAGGTACCCACCATTTTTATTTAGTTATCAGATTAGCTTGCAAAGAGGAATGGCTGATCCTTGGTCAGAGATGGAGATATGTTTCTGTCAGAGGCAAAAATAACAATCCAAACCTACACAGTTTGGGTGGACTGAAAACTGTGCGGTCCTAAATCCTCAAGCACATGAACTTTCTGCTTGTCTGCCACTACTGTGGCTACTAAGTAAAAAGTAAAGGACCCTTTTCCAGGCGTTTAGGCATATAGGGCATATAGGGCTAGACCTGTATTTTTATAGACCACCGGCACAAGATGGTTGATGTGGTCAGCATCACCCCGGCCGCCTCTTCTTCCCGAGACTGCACCCGGTACCCACTCAAGGCTGCGTCGACCTGAGAGCCGAGGTCATTTTTGAAAAAAGTCCAGCTCCGCCAGTTAGCGAACCCATGACCTTCCGATCCGCAGCTAGCATCTAGCCGCTCCGCCACGGGACTGCGGTTACTGCAGCTACAAAATACACAGCCTAGATTTTCTAAGTCCAGGTGGCATCAATGTCCAAATAGTGCTCTTACATACCTTCATCTAAGAAGTTTTACAATTATCACATTTTCAATTTTAATTATTTTATTTGATATTATTACTTCATTCTATCTCTTATCAGTACCATTTATGCATCATAAACATTTGAATTTCTTTTACTTTTTTATTCCTACTATTTTATTATATATTCACAATAGTACTTTTTATTCTTCGCCTCTATTTTTCTAGCCTTCGTTTATTTTATTTTATTTCATTCACTCCACATCACAATTTTTAAAAAGTTGTTCACATCACCCCTAGAGATTTGAATACTCTCCTCTTAGTTACTGTTGTGTAGTTCATTGCTTGTTCGAGAAAGGCAACCGGCCAAAACATTGTTTTGTATTGTTTTGTGCATGTTTTTTCTGCTTCCCCATTTTGTTAAACTTTTTAGTTACATTTCACTGGAATTCTTCAGCTACTGCCTGTATGTCAAAGAACACTTCTCACCTCATGACCCTTTGGTTGGAACTTAGTGTCTGCGTTGGAGCTGCAGTTGAGCAGGTTTTGTGAGGAAAGCCGCTTGAGGCCCTGATGCTGGTTGACACTTTAGATTTCCAGGAAGATAGTCTTTTGTCTTGAGCCTAGGGCGGGGCAAAGGGCAGAGGTCACAGCTCTCCAAGTCTGGCGGTTTGTGTCCACCTGTTTTAGGTCTTGGATGTTCATTAGGTCCATGGTTGAGCCTTCCCTAATGATGGTTCTACGCAGGATCTTTCTTGGTCTTTCCCATTTTCTTTTCCCTTCAGATGTCCATATGAAGGCTTGATGGGAGAGTCTTGTCTTATCCATTCTGATAACATGGCCGATGTAGTTCCAGCTGCATTTTATTATCAAATCCTGCTTGGTGTCTTGTCTTATTTGTGTATATTCCCAGGACTAGGACAGCAATTTAACATGGCCTTTAGGGGCGGTCTGGTTTTGATTGAGAATGTAAACCATTCCAGTGTATACTGTTGCAGTTAGGGTCTAATAAAGATTATGTGAGAACTTAGCCAGTTGTGAGTGTTTTGTGCAGGTAAGTGTGGACTCTGTCAGGGACGCTCTTATTGACAAACCAAATGATTGTATCTGTGTATCTGTTTAATATCTAGCGATAGAGAGGTATTTGACACTGTATTTGCAACTTTTGTGGCGTAAGCAGAGGGTACAATTTAGAAATTAAATTAAAAAACAACACCCTGAGACAAACAGAGGAATTTAAGTATTTGGGAGCAATTTTTACATCCGACGGAAAACTGGACAGAGAAATTAGCTCCAGATGTGCCAAAGCTAATCAAGTAATGGGTCAACTATCTCCCCGTTGACACACAAGCAGATACCTCGGAGTACTAAAGTGAATCTTATCAGAACTATTTTTTGGCCAACACTATGCTATCAATGCCAAACGTGGACACTTACATATTCCAATGAACGTAAAATTGTGACAACAGAGATAAAATGCCTTAGAACAGCTGCAGGAGTTTCAAGGAAAGACAGAATATGAAATCATGAAATCAGACGAATGCTAGGAATAAAGCCAGTCTTACAGGTCATCAAAGAACAACAAATGAAGTGGTTTGGACACCTAACAAGAATGCCCTGGTACTATCCACCACAGCGAGCCACACTAAAACGTTACAACAGGTAAAGAGCGAGTGGAAGACCTCGGAAAAGATGGAGTGATGGCATTAAGAACAGCCTTACAGAAATGAACATCAGTCTTAATAGTGCTCTTGACAGAGCTCATCAACGTACAGTACAACTCCCCCCGACACTTCGATGAGGTACAAGGTGGAAGAGAAGAAGAAAAAGCAGAGGGTCTACGAGCCTGAGGATTTGGAGCTGCATGGCTAGTGCTGTCACCATGGACTGTGCAGCTTAGGATTCTATTTTTACCCCCATCCGGCAAATTTTCACAACTTACTGAGGTTTTAAACCTAGGCAGTGTTTTTAACATTTCATGGAGCCACTCCATAAAGTGAGTGATGTTCTACCCCACCAGGACCACAAAAAGAACAATCAACATCTTGTGACACAAAGTGCCACCATTCAGATGTGAATCCCCCACAAGTCAAGTCCCAGAAACCCTGTTCAACCATTAGGTTATACTAGGGCTCCCAACAATAGCAGGGTTGGGGCTTTAAAATTACAATATTATGTTGTGCTAACAGTTTTATGTTGTACTAAGACAAGGCATGGGACTCACAACTCATGGCATTGGTGAGTGTGACTAACAAGATCCACACATGTTAAGAAGTCTTCCAAAATTACAGCATTGGATTTCAGGGTGCTGTTGACAACATTTGTGTTAACTCTATTTCCTCTCAGATGCTCTGCTCTCATCATTTCTGCAATCAATTTTTTCCTTCATTCTCAGTTGCTTTCTGATGTGTCCTCTCCACACAACCTGGTTGATGACATTTCGTTCCCACAAGTTCACATCCATACCTGTATCATTCATGTCCCGTTTGAACACATCTTTATATTTTACTAGAGGTCAGCCTCAACATCTTCTACCCGTCTTTAATTCATCATAAAGGATGTCCTTAGGGACTCTTTATATTTTAGTAGAGGTCAGCCTCAACATCTTCTACCCGTCTTTAATTCATCATAAAGGATGTCCTTAGGGACTACCCGTCTTTAATTCAACATAAAGGATGTCCTTAGGGACTCTTTATATTTTAGTAGAGGTCAGCCTCAACATCTTCTACCCGTCTTTAATTCATCATAAAGGATGTCCTTATGGACTCTTTATTTTTTACTAGACGTCAGCCTCAACATCTTCTACCCGTCTTTAATTCATCATAAAGGATGTCCTTAGGGACTCTTTATATTTTGCTAGACGTCAGCCTCAACATCTTCTACCCGTCTTTAATTCATCATAAAGGATGTCCTTAGGGACTCTTTATTTTTTACTAGACGTCAGCCTCAACATCTTCTACCCGTCTTTAATTCATCATAAGGGATGTCCTTAGGGACTCTTTATATTTTAGTAGAGGTCAGCCTCAACATCTTCTACCCGTCTTTAATTCAACATAAAGGATGTCCTTAGGGACTCTTTATATTTTAGTAGGGGTCAGCCTCAACATCTTCTACCCGTCTTTAATTCATCATAAAGGATGTCCTTAGGGACTCTTGCCATCCTCCATTCTCCATGTGTGATCTAGCTACCTGAGCCTTCGCAGACTGAGCATGAAAAAGACTGTTGTAATACCTGCTTTTTTAAATACCTCAGTGTTTTTTATCTTGTCCTGCCACTTAATGCAAAGTATTTTCATAGGCATCGCATGTGAAAGCTCTTTAACCGTCTCGTCTGGTGCGAATAAGTTGACCAGGTTTCACTGCCATAAAACAGAGTGCTGAGAACCCAATCCAAACAAGAGTTTTTGTTTTAATCGGGAACTTTCTATTCTCCCAAACTCTTTTTGTTAATCTGTTCATTGTTGTTGCTGTCTTACCATCCTGTAGTTGTAGAAACTGTTCTCCACCGCCGTAAAATACAGGCAGTGGAGACAGTATATTTTTGTGACAGTTCTAGAATCAGATCTCATGTTCTAGATTATTTTTAAGAGGTCATTATACCCTTTTTAAGGGGTTATTTTACCCTTTTTAAGAGGTCATTATACCCTTTTTAAGAGGTCATTATACCCTCTAAAGGTAATCCCCAAAATTATTTTGGGGAAAATGGTTATAAATGTTAAAAGCTGATTTTAGTCTCAAGTTGTTTTTTTCTCAGAAACATACAGGTTAATATGGTCATAAATGTTAACTCTCTCCAGACATATTGCCAAATAGTTGGCAACAGAGTCAGCAACGTTTAGGCATATCGACTTATATTTTCCTCAAAATTATTTGGCCACGTTAGCGCAGTCGATAAGAGGCTCGCTTTCAAATCCAGCTGTGACTCACTGCAGCCCATGGTCGGTGTTTGAAACCGGGGTTCATCCAGCCTCTAGGAAATGGGTACTAGAGTTGACATTCTGGAGTAAATGGAGGAACGTCGCTGTAGCTACAGAGTTACGTACGAACGGCAACACAGGCAGACAATTCTTATCAGCTGTTCATACTGGTTTATAACCGTGTGCAATGACGCTGGTTCACATCTCCCGACTTTACCTTTTTACCTTTTCATCATATTTATTTCTTTTTCCCTCAGATTAAATTTTATTTCTACATTATGTCTTCTTTTTCACTCATTTCTATGCTTTCCTACTTGGATTTAGCTATATTTACACCCCAGATGAGTGCCTTTTCTTACGCATATTTACTACTATTTCCACTTGAATTTCTTTACACTTTCACTCAGATTTATTTTTATTTCTAATCAGATTTATTTATTAACTTTTCCACTGAAATCTGTGTATATGTCCAATCAGATCTATGTATATTTCTACACAAATTTATGTTTATCCACTCTGATTTATATGTAGTTCAACTCAGATTTATACATATTTCGACTCAGATTTATTTACATTTGCCTTCAGATTTTGTCCGATGGCTACTCTGCACACCTGATTCAACTGACCTCCCCTGGATTCCTCAGACCAGCTGTTGGTGGTGCCAGATTTTTTCTTCAGAAGTCCAACTTTCGTCTGTCCACATATGAACATCACAGGAAGGACAGCAAAAAATCGGCATGGGGCTCCCTCTCAAATCCTCCCGGGCATATCAGTGCCAGGTCAAAGTTTAAACCCAGCCAAACTACCGGAGACAATACTTCGGCTATTATTACTGTTCAGGATTTCTCGACTGGCACCTGATATTGAAGATTTCCATAAACTAAAGTGCACACATATTGCTCTTCTTCTTCTTTTTGTTTACCCAAGTGACATAACTGCGCTGCGCCTGTTCGGCCTTTTGGTCGACACATCCAACTTCGTCGAGCATTTGTTGACTGGGTTAACCTCCTTGGAGTGCCATTCAATTTATATGTACTGATGAGCGTCGCAAGCTAGCTTGGTTTGGGCACGTGGTGAGA